CCCGCCAGCCCGTTTTGACATCCCTACAAATACATTCGTTATTCATGTGCAAATTCAATGACAACCAATCAAGAAGTAAAGAAAATGTAGGTATAGTGATGGATACTCACATGATTCTCACCTAACTTAGTAGATATTATCTTATTCCATTATAAATAGATGTCTCAAATGGATTCTCAGATACTACCATTTTCACAAAATAATTTCTCTTCCTGGGTCTTACTTATCTTCTCTTTTGTAGTTTTTTTTTTACCTTTTCTTCTTTTAAGGCGTCTAGGAATACCAATGACAAAGTAGCGTATTTTTTAAAAAAATATGCTTGATAATTCTCTGGTGCAGACTGAAGAAGTCGAACGAGGTGAAAACACAAGTAGGCGAGAAAGGCGAGTAATACATCGAGGTCATGATGTCAGACATGCTCTTACTAATAAGAGATTATTTTGCTACCAAACCCACATATTCTTCCACCGTAGATTTCGTATGGCCATACGTTTATTTTCTCCTATTGTTGATTCAATTGAAATTATTCTGATTATTTCAATAGCAAAACATATGCATCTGGTAGACATGGCTTTTCACGAATTCAGCGGAGCACCTGTCAATCAATGTGATGAAACTTAGCATGTCTAACCAAACAACAAATAGATGTCTTATGGAGTTTTGTCAAGCTCTGTGTGAGGTATTTGCATCTCAATACTTACGTTCACCTAATGCTGCTGACATCCAACGACTACTTGCATTGCACGAGGAGAAGCATGGTTTTCCTGAAATGCTGGAAAGCCGTGATTGTATGCACTGAGAGTGAAGAAATGTCTTTTTGCTTGGCAAGGCTAGTCCACTCGAGGAGATCATGATGTACCAACAAGAATGCTTGAAGCAGTAGCCTCACAAGACTTGAGGATCTGTCATGCCTTTTCTGGACTTGCTGGGTTAAAAAATAAAAATTAATGTATTGCACGAGTCCCCATTATTTAACAATGTCTTACACGGCGTAGCACCAAAGGTAAATTTTACAGTGAAGGGAACTCAATATAATGGATATTACTTAACAGATGATATCTATCCGGAATGGGCAACGTTTGCCAAGAGTTTCCAGTGCCCAGGTAATCTAAAAAGAAAAAAGTTCAAGCAACGACAAAAGTATGCAAGGAAATATGTTGAGCGCACTTTTGGGGTGCTCCAGTAAAGATGAGAAATTGTACGTGGCCCGAATCATTTTTGGTATAAAAAAGAGAATAATGAAATAATGTTATCCTGTATTATTTTACATAATATGATAGTTGATGATAAGGATGATGAGGCAACAAAATGGTCCATTGATGACACTGGGCCTCAAGTCCAAGCACGACAAGGCCATCCAAGAATTTTTTGTTTGTACTTACAAATAAGAGCTGAAATGCAAGATCGACAAATCCATCATCAATGTATGCACGACCAACTTGAGCATATTTGTAATGAACCTAATTATCAAGACTATAGTAATATGGTTAATTTGTATTTTATCTCCTCTTAACTTCTACTTGCAATAATATGTTCTTTATTTGAAATTGTAAGAGTACCTCAATTATTCTTATTTGAAAAAACTCGTTTTTAGTTGTGTTTTTTTTCGACAATTCATCTAACTCGTTCTTATACCGTAAAATTGAGTTTTGGGATAATAAATCAATTCAAGTTTTATTTTAACGAAAATAGCATACTTGTACTTTTATCTTCTTCAAACAATGTTCGTTGTCGTTTGTTCTACTTAAAAAAACTCGTTTTCACTTTTTTTTTTTTTTTTATGAAGACACACTAACTCATTCTTATACCATAAAATTGAATTAAATTTTTGAATCTATAATTATTTCCAATTTTATTTTAATTAATAATCTATAATTACAAATAATACAATATAGTTATATATAATTATATTATAGTTTCATGTGTATTTATGATAAATATACAAAACATATGGATTAAATAAAAATAAAAGTGGAGTTATTTTAAAATATTAATAAAGATGTAAGAGTATAATTTTAATTATAAAATAAGTGAAACATGTATGACCCATAAAATGAGGTTTACATGTATTGGGGTAAGAATGATGTTTAGGCTCATGTGGTATATTGGAAAAAAAAAAAGAAAGTTTTTGTATTTGTGTTATTAAAGTTGCTCTAACAACTATCCATACCATATTTTTTTAAGTTAATCATAGTTAGAGCATTTCCAGTGCTCTAATATTGTTGTAGAATAATTTTTGACAAATGTCAATAAATTAAATAGATTGTGAACTATGCAGAAAAAATGTTAAATGTTCAAAAAAATACATCACCAATGAGTGTCTGCCACATAAGCGGTTGACATAATAAACATGTGCCCACCGTGGTAGGTGAACGTTACTCTCTAGCTATAATGTGGAGGAGAATGTGAACCACATTCTTCTCTCCATTATAGACATTAATTGTGCCACATCATCACAACATTTGTAGTCACATTGAGGATGAAAAATTATAATATTGTTAAATATATTGATGTGGAATGTAATTTCGACAACAACGTTTCAGCATTGTAGAAACTCTTAAAAAAGTTCATTAATGAAAATTTTATAACGAAGCACACCGTAACATAAGTCATCGATCATTACTCGGCCAGACTCGTGAGTTGGCTCGAAAATTCAAATTTGAATTTGGTGCGAGGAACCAACCAACGAGATGGACCCAAAACTAAAGGATAATTTGTTTCACGGGAACGGCCAACGGGCTTAAACCACCGGGTCTACGGTGCGCCCCCGCATGGTGGCTAGGGCTGGGCACGGTTCGAGTAACCGAGTTTTTTCAGGTATTTGCTA